GACTGAATTTTTGGAGAAACAAAATTTTAATTTGATAAAGAATTATCACTCAAATGTTGGGTAAACGTTCAAAATGTTTGGTGGTAAGACGCGGTGCTGGATGAAATCAAAATGAGGACTCATTTAGACTGTGCTAAAAATAAGTTAAGCAACAAAATTCAAAAAAATGTAGCCGGATGGCAAAAAATTTTCAGAGATGTCATCACCGTATATACTTCCAGTTTTTCGTTAACTGTCAATCGATTGTGTTCCTCTCCACGGTGGTGGGCCAAAGCGCTAAACAAACTGCATATGTTAACACATAGACGAGTTTTCAGGCCCCCGCCTTCTTCCAGTCTTCTAGCCGGAGATATTCACTGTTTGTATCTTTAAAATTTGTAAAACACTTAAAGTCAAAACTCTCCCCATATTCGCTCTCAATGAAAGGCCGGAGCATTCGAAAGTATTTCTAGGATAGTAAATGCCAATACCAACCACGCGATGGCCAGAATTGAGATTTCTTATAAGCAAGTGCAACATAGTAAATCAGAAATCGAAATTTTTTTTAAAAAAAAAAGATACTTCGATAGCTTGGACGATATCGCCGCCGGATCGGCATATTGCCTCGGAGCAAACATTTTCCGTTTTGTATCGATGTTTTCCAGCACCAGCATGAACGGCCAAGAAAGCATTACCACTGCTACTTGTCATTGCTGCAGAGCATCAAGGGCTTTTTCGAAATCCGCACTACGGAATCGATGCTTCAGGATTAGGCGATCGTTGAACAGAACCACTGGCACATCATATTTATACTCCTGCAAACTATATTTGCAGTTAAGAAGTTGATGATTTTTGCTTAAAAAGGCATATCCATGAACTCTATTCTGTTAAAGTTCCAGCTTCCCAGCTTCTCTGGTTCCCAAGTTGGCGATTTTCCCACCGAAAAAAAATTTTCACGGGAACCACGCACACGTGGGGGCTGAGTTTGAAATCTTTGAGTCTTATATGGACCGGAAGATCCTTTATCAAAGAATCACCAAGCATCTGGAAATAATCACTTCACATGCATCCCTATCAACGGCTAATATTTCGTAAAGTATGTCAGCGCCGTGTAGGTATGGCAACATTTGGGACGAAGCGGTGATGCTCAACAAACAAACTTTTCAAGAACATTTTCAGGCAGTCCTGTTGGGTGCTTTTTTTGCAAGAACTACTGAATTGGTAGTCTTTTCGGGAAGTGCAGTGAACGTCGGCACAGCAAGTATGCTGAACACATCAGGCGATGTAGCATTGGTCAAAACAACTGGAAAAGCTGCCAGCTGGAAAGGTGGAGAAGAGCCGGACTATGAATCCGCTAACGTGGCTGTTGATGCTTCCCTCCTCAAAAAATGCTTGAAAAGCAAACCAAAAATAGCTACGAATGCTAAATTTAAAAATCTGTCTTTTAAAAAAATTGCCATCAGGCAAAGTGAAAAGCAATACTGCCGTCATGCTGTAAATTGCGGGTTCGATTCTGTCTGTGGCACAACCACTAGTCCCCTTACAACTCGTTCCTTCGTTCTGATGGTAAATTTGCTAATTGCCCTAATGCCAGGGATTCAGACCCCAGCATCAGCTTGCTTGTAAGCAATCCTCGAAAGAGAGAGCCACTGCGTGCCTTGCTAGTGGGTGGCTGTTTTCGGCATCTGTTACCACTCGAGCTACTTCCTGACTGCCATCGCCTACCACAAAAAACGGGTAAGGAGGGATTTTCATTTAATAATTGCGGGAAATGAAGGAAGTTTCCCCTGGTTTTAACTTGATAATTATGTTACAGAGAAAGGAGGGCAGTGCCTCCAAAATTTGAGGTTGAATCGGGGGAGGGGGAAGTCGGTGAGAAATCCTGAAAACACGCTACCGAAGTATCACGGAACTGAAATAAAACAACACTAACCTCATAGTATTGCCTGTTTCTCTGGATATCAACGATTTCCACGAGCACTGGACGACGATCTGCTGCTCGTCTGCTTCTGATATAGCTGTCCAGCTGTTCCTTGAAATGTACACACAGTGGACAATGGGTAGTGGTCAGGAAAAGCAGACGAATTGGGGC